TGTGGCTGCGACGGCTGTATGACAGCCACATCTTGCGGCCGGGGGCGGATGGCTGGGACACAGCCATCGCAGCCATCGGCCGGAGGATGGCTGCACTGGCTGGAAGGCAGCCAAACTGGCGCGTGCTGGGAGGGCGGAGTGGCTGGGATCCTGTAATTGCAGCCACGCACGCGTATTAAGGATGGCTGGCATGCCTAGTTCTCAGCCATCGGGTAGGTGGGAGTGTATGGCTGAGATCTAGGCGTGCCAGCCATCCTTAGCACGGATGGCTGTGAAACAGGGAGCGCAGCCAAGGTGCAGATTTCGAGGTTAAAGCCACACTCATTCACGGACCCATTCACTCGCAGCTGTCCTCCCGCGACGCGAAGCGCCCGCCGCGGCCCTCTCGCAGTTTGGCCTCTCGGTATGCCGCTGCCCGCGTGCCCGGATCTGACGCAAAGCCTGCGTCGCGTCAACCTCGTGAAGTCGGCCTCAGAGCACGACTACTACATGAGCCTCGAGCTCGACTCGCAGCTGTGCCTCCGGTGCGGTCCCCGCGCCATGAGCGCCTGCGGCGGCGAGAGAGGGAGGGAGAAACGGAATGCCCCGCACAACGCGCATGACAGGTGCCCTGGCCGTGCCGGTAGGATCCATGGGCAGGAAGGCTGCGAGGGCTCCTTCGTCTTCCCCGCGCGGCAGCCGACTCAGTACACGTTGTGCCAGTGGACGCGCTGCGACAATGTGCACTTTGATCGGTGCTGCCCCATCGAGGGCAACGAATGCACGATTCCCTCTCCGCCAGCGGCGCCGCCGGCGCCTCCAGCCGCACCGCCGCCGCCGCCACCTTCCCCGGGCCCTTCACCCCCTCCGCACCCGAATCCCCCTTCCATTCCTCCGTCTCCCTCCTACCCGCCGCTGCCGCCGCCGCCGCCGCCGCCGCCGCCACCGCCACCGCCGTCGCCGCCGCCGCACCCGCCGCATGCCCCGCCCCCGCTTCCGCCTGCTGACCTGCGCTGGGTTCCGCCAGCGTTGATCGTGCTCGGCGCCGCAGCGATAGCGTGGTCCATCCTGCAGCGCCGGTGCACGGCGCCGCCAAAGCAAAAGCGCTACATCTCATTCGAGATACCCGACCCCGACGAGGCAGGCTCGCAGTCGCTGTGAGGAGGCTCGCTGTGGGCCAACTAAACCCTACTTCGGCCGGCGTCGAGCGGCCGCAGCATGCCTGGCACGTCCCTGGCGTCCTGTCGTGTGCACGTGTGGGTCTGTACCCTGAGTCGGGGCGTGCGCGGGCCGCTCTCCGGGGACAGAGAAGGACTAGCTCGCAGGTCGCAGCAGAGTCTAGGTGCCTCTTGAAGCCCTGAGGGTGCTTGTGTGTGCGGTGAGCTCCTGTGAACTTGTGAGCTGACACACTTGAGTCATCTTGAGAGCGTGCAGAAGAGAAAGAAAGCCGCGAGCGGACGCAGACATCAGAACAACACCCGAGTCCCGACCCAAGGGAGGGATGGGAGGACGGCACGCCGCCACCACACAGGGGTTTTAAGGAGAGGAGTGTGGTGCTAGCCGTCGCCCACCCTTGGGCGTCTGCCTCTTCCTATCTCTCTTCGCAGTCCCTCGCCGAAAAAGAAAGAAAGAAAGAAAACAGACAACCCAAGGGAGGGATGGGAGGACGGCACGCCGCCACCACACAGGGATTTTAAGGAGAGGTGTGTGATGCGCTAGCCGTCGCCCACCCTAAGGAGTCTGCCTCTTCCTATCTCTCTTCGCAGTCTCTCGCCGCTTCTCGCTGCAGCCTTCATGCCACCTCGCGGTCGTCCCACTCTCGTCGTTCTCTCCTTTGTCATTTCCTCCTCTGTCGCGTCGTTCTCTTCTGTCTCGTCCTGCGACGCCGCCGCCTGCCGGTCCCTCGCCGGTTTTCGATTTATTTTTTGTTTCATCGACATTATGCACCTCTTGGCGATCCCGTGCTTCGCTCCTGGCGTCTCGCTCGCCCCTGGCGTGCAGCACGGCGCCGCGGCCGGCGCCGCGAGCCGCGCCGGCGCGCCGGTGCTGCAGGCGACCGAGCTGCGCATCGAGACCCCGCCGGGCGGCGCGGCCGAGCTGCTGCGTGCGGCTCCGAACTGGACGCCGGCGCCGGGCGAGCACGACATCCTGCTCCGCGCGGCGCGCGGCGAGGCGGTGGAGCGCACGCCGGTGTGGCTCATGCGGCAGGCGGGCCGCTACATGGCCGCCTTCCGCGAGTACTCCACAAAGTACCCCTTCCGTATGCGGAGCGAGACGCCCGAGGTCGCCATCGAGCTGTCGCTGCAGCCGTGGCGCGCGTTCGGCGTGGACGGCGTGGTGATGTTTTCGGACATACTGACGCCGCTGCCCGCCATGGGCGTCGATTTCGACGTCGTCCGCGGCACCGGCCCCGTCATCCCGCAGCCGCTCCGCACCGCCGCCGACGGTGAGGCTTCCGAGACACTTCCGAGACACTTCCGAGCCGAGACGCTGCCGAGCTCTCCAGAGACACCCCAGACGCTTAGCGAGTGCCGCCGGCTCGTCCCATGCCGCCGCTCCCTCTTCCCTCGCCCGCTCACTACTCCTCCGCCCCCCCCCCCCCCCCCTCGCTCTCCTCTCGGATACGCCAGTCGCCGCGCTGACGCCGATCGACGACTTTGAATCGAAGCTCGGCTTCATCCGCACGATCCTGGGCTCGCTGCGCAAGGAGACGGAGGGCGGGTGCACGCTCATCGGCTTTGTCGGCTCGCCCTTCACCCTCGTCGCCTACGCCGTCGAGGGCCAGGCCAACCGCCACTGCATCTCGACGAAACAGATGATGACGGCCGCGCCCGAGGTGCCACTTCCGCGCCCCTGCCTGGCCCTTCCCCGAGGGGCCAACCCGCGCTGCGAGGAGGGCCTGTGCACGCGCCTGGGTGCGGTGCACTCACAAGCGTCTCGTCTGCAGATCTCGCAGACCTCTCCTCCGCCGCCCCGTGGCGTGTGTCGGGGTCACCCGAGATCACACGAGATCACGCGAGATCACGCGAGATCGCGAGATTACGCGAGATTACTTCGCTACCTCCCCCTTCCCTCAGGTGCTGCACGCCGCGCTCGACCACTTCGCCACCGAGATTGGAAAGTACGGCTGCCACCAGATCGAGTGCGGCGCTCAGACCATCCAGTTCTTCGAGTCGTGGGCGCACCACCTCGGCGCGAGATCTGGCCGAGATCTGGCCGAGATATGGCCGAGATAGAGCCGAGATCCGGCGCGAGATCTAGCTGAGGCCAGCCGAGATCTAGCCGCCTCACGCACACGCCTCCCAACACGCCTCACCTCGCCGCAGGAGCCGGCCAGTTTGACACCTTCGCCAAGCCGTACGCAGACAAGGCGATGCGATACATCAAGGCGCATCTCCCCGCATCTCCCCACATCTGCTCGCCTATCCCCACATCTGCTCGACCTCCCGTGAGCGGGGCTTCGCTTGCCTCCCGACCCCTCATATGGCATGCTTAGGCGCGGCTCCGCCCCGAGAGAGCCCACCTCGAGATCCACCGAGATCCGCCGAGATATGCGCCGAGATATGCGCCGAGATATGTGCAGCCGAGGGCCTCGGGGCCGGGCGACGCCGTCGAAGCTTGCCTGGCCTTCGCCCCTCAGGAGCGCCACCCGGACGTGCCGATCATCTACTATGCCAACGGCTCGCATTAGAGAGAGAGGCGAGGCACAGTCAGGCTCGGACTGGACACCAGCGCGGTGTGGGTGGACGAGGGACGGGAGATGACGGCACGCTGGAGCGACACACCGACACACAGACACAAGACACTCGCCGACCCTCGTGCAGTGCGCTGTGGTTCACAGCCCTGGCCGTGAACAGGCGGGTCGCCGTACCTCGAGCTGCAGCGCGACATGGCGGCGGACATGATCCAGCTCGATTGGGGCACCGACATGGCCACCGCGAGGCGCCGCCTCGGGACGGAGCGCCGCGTGGCCGGCAACATCGACGGCCGACGGCGCCGCCCGCTGGTCCGCTCACTCGAGTCACAGCGTTGCTGTTCATTGCTGTTCTAGGCAACGTCGACCCGACTGTCCTGTTTGGCTCGGAGGCGCAGATCACGGCGGCGGTGCACCAAAACATACGCGACGCGGGCGGCAAGGGGCAGCACCTCCTCAACCTCGGCCACGGAGTGCTGCAGGGCACGCCCGAGGCGTCCGTGGCGGCGTTTGTCAACGCCGCAAAGTCGTTCTCGGAGTGACGCGGCGCGCGCCGTTCGCAGTGCCTAGTGGAGACGAACCAGGGGACTTCGCGTCATGATATCTGCCATCTCTCACGAGTCACGTAAAAGAGTCGTCTAAAGACACCGCGCGGGGGAGGCAAAAGCCAAAACGCAAAAGAGCTGTGTTTAACATTATCATTAACTTGAGCGGCCCCGCACACGCAGCCGTGGGCGCACGGCACTGCTCCCCGGTACAGGTCATGCAAAATAAATCTGAGAAATATTCGCGGGCGTATCGTCGATGTGCCAAAGTCAGCGTTGCGGAGTTGCGAGAAGCGATGGGCGCCCCTCTAAACGCCCATAGCGCCACCGCCTCGCTCGCCCGAGCCGCTCCGACTGGAGGGCGCTGCGCTCGCCCGGCATCGAGCCGGTGCACCACCCGCCCCCAGACGCGGGTCCGGACCCCCCTCGTCGCCAGCGGCAGCCGCTGGCTCGACGACCAGCACCCTCTCGGCCGCCTCCTTGGCCCGGCCGCCGCTGTCGCGGCTGTCGGGCTCCGCGACAGCCGTCGACCACCGACCAGCGGTGGCTGGGCCGCTATTGATGCGGAAAGTGCAAAAATGCATACGCGCTTTTGCGACCCCGCAGCATGGTTTGATAAAAGGCACCGTTGTCGATGGTATCTGGTAAGGTAAGGTAAGGTAAACGTCTCCACACACACAAAGTGGTGGGGCAAGGGGGGGCGACCCTCGCATCTCCACGCCCGGACACGGATCGCACGGTATCTGGTTCGCACACATGTGTTCTGGGTTCTGCAGCTTGGGCGGCCGAGCGTGGCGAGCTTCCCTGGGCCCCAACCCCATCCCCTCCCCCTGCTCCGCCCCTCTTCCCTCCTCTCGCCCGCATCCCCACCCCCTCCATGTGCGTGGGCACCGCTGAGAGACGCGCGCAGTCCGCAGACGGTGTGGAGAACCTACGACAAAACGGATCGACAAATCTCAAATGGAAAAGCCCTAAGCCCTAAGCCTTTTGAAAAGGAAATGCGGCGATGTCGCGCGCGGCCCGGCGGCGCGGGCTCGACCCTCTACATATATCCATATTTTCATACTCTCGCACAAGATCCCCTCCCCTGGGGTAAATGTGTCCCCCTTCCCCCTTGTGTGTCGTGTGTGTGTGCGTAAGGTACATAGTTGAGAGCGTGCGAAGAGGCGTCAGCCCCATGAGCGCGCCGGACATGTGCATGCGGTGTGTGGCCCCGGTGTGACGTGAAAGTCACGGTGGCGCGGGCGGCGCGCGTGCCGTCTCCCCTCCGGAGCTATGGGCGCGCACGCCGCGCGGGGCGCAAGGATGCGCGTTCCCTTCGCCCCGCGCAAATATAGCCGCGCGCGTCAGTTGAGGCGGCGGTGGTGCCGCTTCGGAAACGTGCCCGCCGGCATCGACGCCGACGTCGTGAGGGTCCGCGCCGCGCCGCGGGGCGAGTTGAGCTGCGAGCCGGAGGCGGATGAGGAGAGCGAGGTGAAGGCGGAGCACATCGACCCGATCGAAACGTCGGAGCGCGTCGATGTCGGCCGCTGCTCTCCCCCGCCGTCGTGCACCAGCCGCACCTCGGAGAGGGCGAGCGCAACGTCGCCGGCGGCGGGGGCGCGGCGCTCGCCGGGCTTGCGCCGCTCCGGTGCCGGCTTGGTGGCGGGCACCCTGGTGGGCAGCCGCCGCCCCGCCCCCTCCCCCGCGCGCTCCGCGACCACGTCCAGGTCGCTCGTGATCTTGGACAGGATTGGCGCGAGGATGCCAGAGAGCGACTCCTCCTTGCCCGCGGGCGACGCACCCTTGGCGCCGCCGCCGATGCGGGTCGTCGCGATCGAGCGGTCCGAGTCGTTGCGCGGGAGCGAGCCGTCCGCCGACTCGTCGAGCAGCTCGTCGCCCGACGACTCGCCGTCCACGCGCGCCGCCTTGTGCTGCCCGTTGGAGAGCATTGCAATCGGGTCGGGAGCGCGCATCAGCCGCCAATTGCACGAGCGCGAGTAGACGGGGCCCTCCTCGGAGAGGGAGAGCGAGCGCACTTCGTCGCACTCCGAGTCGGAGCCGTGCGCGGCGGAGTCGCACGACGCCACCGACTTTTTGGAGCGGCGCGTGTCGGCGGCCTCGCCGGCCCGCGCGCGCCCCGGCCACGGCTGCTGCTGCTGCTGCTGAATCTGCTGGTCAAACCGCTGCTGCGTCGTCTTGGTGGTCAGCACCGCCTCGGCAAAGGTCTGCGGCCCCACCGCCGCCGCGGCCCCCATCGCTGCGCCTGCCCCGCGCTCGGCGATGAGCTCCATGCCCGAGCACACGGCCATGGCCAGCTCGCCTTGGATCTTTGCGATGTTTTCGAGGAAGCGCTCGTCGTACGCCTCGCCCGGGCGGGGTCGCGTCGCCTGGGGCCGGACGAGCTGGCCGGCGCCGCTCGCATCGTCCTCGACCGGGTCCGTCTGCGTGCCGACCGTCGACGACTGCTTGGCCACCGTGGTGCGTGGCGTGAGCCGCTCGTCCTCGGCGTCACACGAGTCGCGGCGCGGCCGGCGCTCGGCGCGGCCAAACTGCTCGGCGTACGAGCTGGACGACTTGGACTGGCGGAGCATGGCGGCCGCCGGCTGCGGGCGGGGCGCGGAAGGGGGGGTGGGGGGGGTGAGCGGATCGGAGGCGAGGCTGAAAAGCGGGAACACACGGCGCGGAGCCGCTGGAATGGGGGGGAGAAGCGCCGCCGCTCCGGCGAGTGCGCGGCGGCCGAATGGTGCGCGAGAGCGGCGAGAGGCCGCACGCGGCCCGCGCGAAAGGGTCGGGGCGGGGCGAGGGGCAGTAGGTGGGGGAGGGCGGCGCGCCTTTGGAGAGAGCCGCTTGCCGACGGCTGGCGAGGCGGGGCGCTGCATCGGAGAGGGTGAGGGCGACCGCGTGCGCGCGTAGTCGGTCGGGTCGGGGCTTCCCGACGAGGCAGAGCGCACCTGCGGCGAGCGCGGCTGCCGCACCGACGGCCGCTCCCCGACGAAGCGGGTGGGAGAGCTCGCGCCCTTGTTGAAGGTGGGCGAGCTGCGCTGGCCACCGATCGGCGAGCGGCCCCCGGAGCGCGAGAAGGGGGTTGGAGAGGGCGTCTTGCGGTTGGCGAAATTGGTCGGCGACGGCGGCTTGGCGGTGGGCGACGGGGTCTTGCGGCTCTTGACCGCCGCGGTGGCCTCGGCAGAGGGAGTCACAGGACCCTTGCACGCAGGCTCATACGCCAGCCGCGGGGTCACGATGGTGTGGTCGCCCTGAGAGAGCGCGAGAGGGAGCGGCGGGTCAGCGGAGGGAGCGGAGGGTCAGGCGCCACACTGCCGCGGTGCGCGCGCGGGCAGGAGCACTCACCTTGAGCGCTTTGGGCATGTTGCGGGCCGCTGCCCTGCGCGCCGGCGCCCGCCGCCGCCTGAGCGCCCCGGCCCCTTGCTACCTGGGCGGGACACGGCCCAGAGGGAGGCGGCGTGAACGTGAGCGTACGTGCGGCCCTGCAGGCGCGAGAGGAGCGCGCGGGGCGCGCGAGAGAGGGGCGCGCGGCACGCACCGCCGATGTGCCCACAGAGAAGAGTGCTTATCCTCGTTGCTGGTCGGCGTTTTTTTTCTGGGAAAAGAAAACGAGAAGGCATGAAAATCAATTTTTTAAACCAAACGAAAGCTCAAGCCCCAGGCAGCGGGGACATTGTCGATCGACAAGATCTAACAGTTGCAGGTTGCATTTGTGAAGCGTGGTGTTTCAGCGATGCCGTGTGCGCTCATGAAGAGCGGCACGTGCCGGATCACGGCACGCTACCCCACGGCGCTGTGGCGGCGAGGCGGGAAAAGATATTCTCACATCTGTGCATGGTCCGCATCCATCCAGGGTTCCAGGCTACGTGGGGACCTCGAGGCGCCAAACAAACGGCTGTCAATGTCACGACTCCCGCTCAGACCTCGCGGCCCGCGCCATGCGGGGCGCCTGTCCCCAGCTTCTCGCACTTCTCGCCTTTTCGGCTGCTCAGACCCTCACCGTTTTCCCCACCAGCACGACCTTCCCTGAGCCCTGGTCTGACAGCCTGACAGCAACCCCCTGACAGCGCGTTCAGCGCCTGACAGCGCCCGACAGCCTGACAGCGCTGACAGCACTTTTTCCGACAGCTTGACAGCATGTATCTGACAGCCTGACAGCAGACGAGCAGAGCCTGACATCCGAGGGTGATCCGTCGCTGTCAGGCCCTAACTTGACAGCCTGACAGCTGCCCGACAGCCCGATAGCACACAGTGGCCTGACAGCAGCGCTGACAGCCCAACAGCCTAGCCAACAGCCCGACCAGCCCGACAGCAGCACAGACCGTACACAGACCGTGCAGCCTCTTTCTTGTGCCCCATGAGGGTATAACAAAACTATTGCATGCACATAGTGTGGTCCATGTAGTCATGGGCTAGGTCCTAGGCTAGGTCATGGGATGGTCATGGGTCTCTCTCTCAACCCTCCCGCCCCACCTCTGCGGACGGATCCCTCTCTAGCACCGGCGGCTGTGCTACTACAAATGAAGCTACCAGCTAGCCTTCTGGGGCCCTACAGTCATATGCCTACGGCGTCTGGGTGGGACGGCATCTGGGTGGGGGTGGCCGCCGCCGTCTGTGCCGCCGGCGCCGCCGCCTGCGCCTGCTTCTCTCAGTGCGGCAGACAAGAAGATGGTGACGTCCACCATGAAAAAGATGGTGGGACCGGAGGCAGACAGCAGAGTAGAGACTGAGTATGTGTAGTAGAGTCCTGCTGGTCTCCTCTTGATAGTGTCATAAAGTGTGGTTGGTATGTGTCAGAGCCGCTGACAGCACCCCGACAGCACCACCTGACAGAACCTGACAGCACCGAAGCTCCAACAGCGTCTGACAGCAACACCCGACAGCTGTGCTCCGACAGCACCCGACAGCTACAGATCATCTCTGATGTCAGACACGCACCTGCCGCTGCAGCGTCGCCGTTGCAGCGTCGCCAGTGTGCACAAAGCGCAATGGACCACAGGTCTGCACTCATGGCACAAGCTCACTGGTGTGAGGATTCATTGCCACTGTACAAGGTGCTGTGCAGCACCTTAGGGCTACCTGAGTACTGCCATGTTTGCTGCATCAACAGCCAGGGGTGCAACTGAGCTGCAACTTGAGCTAGAACTTGAGAGGCTGCAACTCAGGGATGAAAGTACTGCCAGCCAAGTTTGATTGCTGCTGCAACCCTGATTTCTAACTCTGTGACTCCAATGGGTCTACGTCTCTGCTGTGTTAGAGGATCATCAGAGGTGTCGAGCGGTGTCGAGCGGTGTCGAGCGGTGTCGAGGGGTGTCGAGGGGTGTCGAGGGGTGTCGAGGTGTCGAGTTTGGCACCTTGACACGGACGAGCATGGTTTCAGCCTAGATGGTGTCGAGGGGTGTCGAGGGGTGTCGAGGGGTGTCGAGTTTGTCGAGTTGGCATGGGTTGTCGAGGTGTCGAGTCGGTGTCGAGGTTTGGTGTCGAGGTGTCGAGGCCAGGGCTCAGCAATGAACACTCCAGTGAGGGAGGGCGAGACGATCCAGGGGTCCCGTACCATGCGGAATCGACCCTATCCAGTGCTCAAGTGCTCAAGGGCTGTAGTGCAGACAAGAACTGCGGTCTGTGATTAGACGGAGCGCCCAGCCAGGCATGAATCCAGCTCCACCATCGTCACTTGATGTATGATGACGGTTCGCCCCCGCCAAAGCGCGCCCGCAGATTGCCCGCCTGGTATGGCGATTACGAGGCGGAGGACGACACTGTGCACGGGGTCAGCCGCAGCGAGCTGGCCCTGCGGCCCAAGTCCCTCGAGCAGCGGGCGAGGTCGCGCCACGCAAGCCTCACCGTCAATACGCCACTCATGGAGTGCTTGGCTGGCGACGAGGAGGCCGAGGCGGTGTGGCGTGCCGCGTGCTCGGCGGGGAAGCGCAACCTGAGCCAGGAGGTGCATGGATGGCGCATCAAGTGGGTGCCTCGCCACGCCTCCGAAGTCACGAAATTCTTTTAGCATCGACGCCCAAAAATGCCTGCATTCTTCACCGGCGACCGCGTCTCCGACTACTACCTCGCCCTCGCCCAGCCCCTCCTCCTCCTGCTCCTCCTCCTCGTCCTCGCCGTGCGCGTCCCCGCGCTGCTGCGCTCGGCGGGCGGCGCGGACCGGGCGCCTATGGCGCTGCGTGCCGTCAACGTGGTGGGCGCGGCGCTGCTCTTTGCGGGGACCGTGGCGGAGCTGGTTCTCGATCCGGAGCAGGACCGCATGGACGTGCCGCCCGGCTACTCGCAGGGGGCAGTGCGCGGCCTCTACCTCGCGTGCGGTTCGTGCGGCGCGGCGGCGTGGGCGTGCGTGCTGGGCCTCGCGCTGTTTGAGGCGCGGTGCGGCCGCAACGCCGGCCGCTCGACCCGCCTGTGGCTGATGCTCTCCGCCCTCCTCGCCTGCCTCCGCTTTGCTTCCGACGTCGAGCGGCTCGCCACCGGCTCCGCGCCGCTCGACGGCGTGGCCCGCGCGCGGCTAGGCGTCTTTGCCGTCTCGGCGGTGGTCGGACTGGTGGCGCTCTGCCAGCCGGACTCGCCCTCCGACGCGGCGTACGCACAGCCGGCCGCTCCCTCCCCCTCCGCCGGCCCGGCCAGTCCGGGACGCGGCAGCGGGCACGGCGCGAGGCTTCTCCCGCCGGCCGAGGAGGCGGCGCCGGCCGAGGGTGCAGAGGGGAAGCGGAACAAGGAGGCGACGGCGTCGTTCTGGTCGCGCTTCACCTTCTCGTGGCTGAGCGGCATCCTCTGGCTCGGCTCGCGCCGCGCGCTCGAGCAGTCCGACCTCTTCTCCCTGCAGACTGCAGACGCGACGGCGCACACGTCGGCAGAGATGGCGGCGGCGTGGAGGTGGGAGCAGCGGCGGCGGCCGGGGCGCGGCGTCTTTCTCCGCGCCTTCCACCGCGCGTACGGGCCGTACTTTTGGACGACCGGCCTCTTCCAGGTCGCAAACACGTCCCTCATGTTTGCCAACCCGCTGCTCATCAACACCCTCGTCCGCTACCTCTCGGGCGAGCAGCCTCTCTCCCCGACTGCGGCCGTCGTCTGCGCGCTCGGCATGTTCGTCGCAAACTCGGCAAAGTCGCTCGCGCTCGGCCAGTACTTTTTCCGCGGCTTCCGGCTCGGCCTGCGCGCAAAGTCCGCCATCGGGCAGCTCGTGTTCGCAAAGGCGAGATGCGCCGAGACGCGCCGAGATGAGCCGAGATGAGCCGGGGTTGAGAAGGCCGTCTGCTCAACGGCGCTCACCCTCGCGCACACCCGCGGTGCGGGCCCGGTGAGTGGAGGAGGGCATCGTGGACTTGCCCCGGAGGACGCTCGCCCCTCCTAACCCCACCCCTAACCCTGACCCTAACCCCACCCCTGACCCCGACCCCTGACCCTGACCCTGACCCTGACCCCAACCCTGACCCTAACCAACCCTGACCCCCGACCCCTGACCCTGACCCTGACCCCAACCCTGACCCCTGACCCTGACTCTAACCCCGACCCCCCCCCCCCCCCTCTGACTACTGGCCACGGAAGGCGCTCACCCTGGCTCACGAGGAGAGGTCGCGCTTCGGCACCGGCGCCGTCGCCTCGCACGTGCAGATCGGCGCCTCGTCTCTCTCCCCGCCTCCCCAACACCCTCCCCGCACCTCCCCCTAGGCGCCATCGTCTCGTACATGCAGATCGACGCCTCGAAGATGGGGGACGCGCTGCCGTACCTGCACCTGCTCTGGTCGGGGCCGGTGACGCTCATCATCGCGACGGTGGGCCCCTTCCGCTTCCTCGGCGTCGCGAGACGCGGCGAGAGCAGCGGCGAGATGTCCCGAGATGTCCCGAGAGTATAGGTGATGCTCTGCAACTTCCTCGGCGTCGCCGGCCTCGCGGGCATCTTCATCATGGTCTTCTCGATGCCGCTCAACACGCAGCTCTCGCGCAAGATGGGCGCCTTCACGCGCCGCACGATGGCGCTGCGCGACCGGCGCGTGAAGTTCACCTCGGAGCTTCTGCAGGGCGTGCGGCTGCTCAAGCTGTTTGCGTGGGAGCCGTCGCTGCTCGAGCAGCTGGGCGAGCGGCGCACGGCCGAGCTGAAGCAGGTGCGCAACATCTTGCTGCTCGGCGGCTCATCTCGGCTCATCTCGGCTCATCTCGGCTCATCTCGGCTCATCTCAGGTGCGCAACAACCTGCTGCTCGGCGGCGTGATGGGCTTCTTCTTCACCGCCATCCCGCTCTTCGTCACGCTGGCGACCTTCCTAGTCTACTCCGCGCTCGGCAACAAGCTCACCGCCGCCACCGCCTTCACCTCGCTCTCGCTCTTCCAGATCATCCGCTTCCCCCTCCTCGTGGTCCCGGGGACGACCCCGCGCGCCGTCGACCTGCTCACACCACCGCCCGTGAACCAGACGCTGTTCACAGGTGCCGATGATGATCACGCGCGTGATCGACCTGTCCGTCGTCAACGGGCGCCTCTCGCGCTTCCTCAACGCGAAGGGCCGCGAGGCCGTCGAGCTCGACGGCGGCGGCGACGGCGACAGCGTCGTCGGCGGCGACGCGCCAATCTCGCTCGAGGGGCACTTCCTCTCCCGCTTGCCCGCCGCTGCCGGTGCGCCCCGTCGGATCATCGAGCTAACCCTAACTCTAACCCTAACCCTAGCGCTAACCCTAGCTGCTCGGCGCAGCCTCGCCTCGGGAGGAGTCACGCGTCGAGTCTTGTGAAGGGATTGTCTTGTGAAGGCGCGCCCGCAATCGAGCTGCACGGCGCCGCGTTCCGCTGGCCCGAGACGGCGGTGGAGTCTGACAAGGGGAAGAAGAAGAAGCGGCGCAAGAGGAGCCGCTTGTTCGGCCACGGCGCCCGCCCGGCCGACGGGCTACGTCGGCGACAGGTGGGACCACCACCTTCCTCATGCAGGACACACTGGTGGATAGGCGCCCACCACTCCGCCGAGAGCGTGCGCTCTGCCCTCGCCGAGCAAGGGTCGCGGGCGGAGGAGGCGCCCCGCCCTTCCGACGCTGAGCGCTGCTCATGAATGATGCGTTCTCAATGAGGAAGGGCCAAGTCTCAGGCGGCTCGCCCTCCGACGCTGAGCGCCCTCGACCTCTCGCTCAGCCGCGGCTCGCTCACCATCGTGCTCGGCCCTGTGGGGAGCGGCAAGACGTCGCTGCTGCTCGCGCTGCTCGGCGACATGCCGCGACTCAAGGGGCGCGCCGTGCTGCGCGGCGAGGTGGTGTACTGTGCCCAGGAGCCGTGGATACAGAACATGACGCTCAAGGACAACGTGCTCTTCGGCAAGCCCTTCGACGCGCGCCTCTACGAGGAGGTGCTCGGCGCGTGCGCCCTCGCCGCCGACCTCGAGCAGCTGCCCGCCGGGGACCGGACCGAGATCGGAGAGCGGGGCATCAACCTCTCCGGCGGCCAAAAGGTGGGGGGGTTCCCCCCCCCCCTCCCCCCCCCCCAACCCCCCCCTACCCCTTTACCCCCCCCCCCCCCCCTAACCCCCTTACCCCCCTTACCCCCTTACCCCCCCTACCCCCCACCGGCCGGCCAACAGGCGCGCATCGCCCTCGCGCGCGCCTGCTACACGGCCGGCTGCTGCCCGTCCCCCACCGTCCTCCTCGACGACGTGCTCGCCGCCGTCGACGCCGAGGTCGGTGCGCAGCTGATGCGCGAGTGCGTGTGCGGCCTCCTCTCCACCTGGGGCTGCACCGTCCTCCTCGCCACCCACCACGCGCACCACGCCCACGCGGCCGGCCACGTCGTGCGGCTCGCGCCCGACGGCACGGCCGCGCGGCAGGGCCCCCCCTCCTCCTTCGCGGAACCTTCCCGGAACCTTCCCGGAATTTTCCCCTAGGCACGATCGCGCGGCAGGGCCCCCCCTCCTCCTTTGCGGACCTCTCACAGGCGCCTTCGCCGCCCATCGCGGTCTCGGCTGTCTCTCGGCTCCTCCCGGCTCCTCTCGGCTCCTCTCGGCTCCTCTCGGCTCCTCTCGGCTTATCCCGGCCCCACTCGACTCCTCTCGGTCCCTCCCTTCTCCTCTCGTACCTCTCGCAGGCACCCTCGCCGGCCATCACGCGCCGCGCCGAGATGGAGGCGGCTGCCGCAGGCGGCGGCGGCGGAGGAGGAGGAGCGCCGAAGCCGGCGGGGCGAGCCAAGCCCGAGGCGGGCGGCGCAAAGGCGGGAGGCTCGATCATTGCCGCGGAGGACCGGGAGCGGGGCGTCGTGGCGATGAGCTTGTGGGTGCGGTACGCCGAGGCGCTCGGCTGGCTCTCGATGAGCTCGCTGATCGGCATCTACTCGCTCTCGCAAGTCTTCACCTACGGCTCTTCTTGGTGGCTCACGCAGTGGGCGGCCGACACCTTCCCCTCCGTCTCGCACGGCGAGCCTTGGTTCTACATGGCCGTCTACTCGGGCGCCCCGCTCGTGGCGGCGCCTCCCCACTCAGGCTGGCTGGCGAGTCCTCAGCAGTTGAGTCTTCACTCAATAGGCGCGTCGCCACGTCCTCCAGATGGACGAGCTTCGGAACCTTCTCGGAACCTTCTCGGAAGCTTCCCCTAGGCGCGTCGCTCATGGCGGCGGCGCTCATCCTCGTGCGCGCCGTCGTCCTCACCCTCGCTTCGGTGCGTGCGGCGCGCAAGATACAGGCGGAGGCGATCAGCGCCGTCTTCCAGGCGCCCATCGCCTTCTTCGACACGACGCCGCTCGGCCGGATCGTCAACCGCTTCTCGGGCGACGTGCAGAAGGTCGACGTCCAGATCTCGGGCCAGTTCATGCAGCTCTTCCTCAACTTCTTCTCGCTGCTCGGCACGATCATGATGCTGGCGCTCTCCTCAAAGTACGTGCTCCTCTCGCTGCTGCCTCTCGCCATCATCTATTTCTTCTGCGCAAAGTACTACCGAGCCTCGTCGCGCGAGCTGCAGCGGCTCGAGTCCATCTCGCGCTCCCCCATCTACACCGCCTTCACCGAGGCGCTCAACGGCGCGCCGACGATCGCCGCGATGCGCGTCGCGCCGCGGTTCGAGGAGGCGTCGGTTCGCCGCTTCGACGCAAACACGCGCGCCGCCTGCCACCATGCACGCGCCCTGCAATGAATGGATAACTCACGGCGTGCTCATGGACTCATCAAGGCGCGCCGCCTTCCTCATGTGCCTTCCTCATGTACGCGGAACGATCTCGGAACCTTCTCGGAACCTTCCCCTAGGCGCGCTGCCTTCATCATGTACGCGGCCAATCGGTGGCTGTCGGTGCGGCTCGAGTTCCTGTCCAACCTCCTGCTCGCGCTCACGGCGCTCCTCGCCGTCGCCTCGCACCTCGCAAACGGCGGAGGCGGCAAGGCGTCGGCCGGCCTCGCCGGCCTGGCGCTCTCCTACGCGCCGGGCATGACGGACACGCTCAACAACTTGCTGCGCAACTTCACGTCGCTCGAGACGATGATGGTCGCCGTCGAGCGGCTCTCGCAGTATGCGCAGCTCGAGCCCGAGGAGGCGGCGGCCAGGGCGCCGCCCTCGCCCCCCGCGGCGTGGCCGTCCGAGGGCGCCATCAGCTTCGCGGGCGTGCGGATGGGCTACCGGCCGGGCATGTCCGGGACACGACCACGACATGTCCGAGACATGTCGCATAGGCGTTCGGATGGGCTACCGGCCGGGACTGCCCGATGTCCTCTCCGACCTCCGCCTCGACATTGCGCCGCGCGAGAAGGTCGGGATCGTCGGCCGCACCGGCGCCGGCAAGTCGTCCATCCTGGTGGCCCTCTTCCGGATGGGCGAGGTGCGCGCGGGCGCCATCCTCCTCGACGGGGTCGACATCTCGGCGGTGCCGCTGCCGACGCTGCGCTCGCGGCTCGCAATCATCCCTCAGGACCCGGTCCTCTTCACCGGCACGCTGCGCCAGAACCTCGACCCCTTCTCCGAGGCGAGATCTCCCCGAGATCACCCGAGGTCGCCCGAGGTCGCCCGAGGTCGCCCGAGGTCACCCGAGATCGACCCCTTCTCCCAGGCGGCCGACGCGCAGCTGTGGGACGCGCTCGACGCGTGCTCCATCGGTGGCGCGATGCGCGAGCACCCCGATGGGCTCGGCAAACCGATCGACGAGCGCGGCGCCAACCTGTCGATGGGTCAGCGGCAGCTCGTCTGCATGGCGCGGGCGCTGCTCAAGCGCGCGCGCATTCTCGTCCTCGACGAGGCGACCGCTTCCGTCGACATGGAGACGGACGAGCTGATCCAGCAGACGCTGCGCCGCGAGATGACCGACGCCACCGTGCTCACCATCGCCCACCGGCTCGACACCATCATGCAGGGCGACCGGGTGGTGGTCATGCACGCGGGGCAGGCGGTCGAGTCGGGCCCGCCGCTTGAGCTCCGCGACACGCCCGGCTCGCGCTTCGCCGAGCTGTGGAGCGCGCAACAGCAGTGAGCGCGCGTGCGGGAGCCCTGGCGGCTGTCGCGGGCGCCATGGGCAGAGAGAGAGAGAGAGAGAAAGAGAGAGAGAGAGAGTCAGAGAGAGAGAGGAGGCACATGGTGCGTCGGCGTCTCTAGCTAGGCCCTCACTGCCCAGCTGGCGCAAAGCCGTGACTGACCGCGCCTCTTTCATCTCTATCTGCGTATCTGTGAGACTGTGACACTGACACACTGTGTTCAATATCGGTGTTGGCAAAAGTCGGGCTCGGGGAGACGAACACTCCGAGGTCGAGCGAGCGAGCCGAAGTAACAAGTACTGGGCTGGGTCTTTAGGCATTGTGGGGTTGGCACTCCCATCGACCCTCATGACCTCCTGCGGTCTCTGAGATGGACACCAGTGGGTGTGGGACCACAGGCAGGATACACTCGAAGGCTGGGTAAGCAGTAGAGGTCGATACTCGACGCGTCCCACATGGTCTGTGTCGCTGTCGGCACGCTGTCGACAGGACGTTGAGCGACACCGGTGGCAGTGCCACCCAGGAGTGGTCGGGCAGTCTCCCGTCATGAGAGAGCCACCATGTGATCCGTATGATGATTCCTGACAACCGCCTCAGTCAACTTTCGTCACAGTTCCCGCTCTGAGAGGAGCTGCGGGTCAGCTCTACAGCTGGAGCTGTGTCGCCGGCGTGCGGCGGCCTGCCTCCGGAGGTGCCTCTGAGGTGGACATTTCTTGGTCACCGTGAGAGAACGCGTTCGAATTTTTACTCGGGAGTTTCAACTCCACACGCGCACCGGTCAGGGCTACAATAGTGCCAGTGAGGCGGAGGCGCGAGTCGGAAGGCCGCGACCGTGACTTGGTCCCTTCGTTGTCCTAGGCAATCGCTGTCGCCCTCAGTGCTCAGTGAAAAAAGAAGTTTCACCCGGTTTGTGGGTAAAAACATACACTCTCCGCTTGGGGGAGAGTCGCAGTCGGGGGTGTGCTGCTGAGTGCTGTGAGCTGCTTGCGCGATTGCGCGTTGCGGTGCGCCTCTCAGAGCCCCTCTGGCTCTGCCCCCCCCCAGCTCTGGTGCCAGGTGCCACCACTGGTGTGGAAGCGGGGACGAGGGAGGTGGGCCCGCTCGGCCTCGGGAGACGTGTATTACTTTACATGACATGCACATGCACTTGCAGTTTTGCACATGTTCATGTACATGTGCTTTTGTTACTTTTTGATGTGTCTAGGTGTGCTAGTACCAAGAGGTTAGAGTTACGGGGTGTGGAGGGTGAGTTGAACAAGGGGTTGTGCGCCGGGCCCTCCTGCTCGGCTCCAGCCCCTGTTGATAGGTCCAGGTGATAGTCCTGGATGGGCAATGCATACGCCTCACTGGGCCTTAGATCGCCCGACCGCGTCCCGGTGCTCTGCCGTCGGATTTGTGACTCCGCCGCACCGCGCCGCGGCCGGGGGCCCTCCGGAGGCCGAGGATGGCCGTGACGGACCGGGACGAGCTCTGGGAGGTGGAGTGTCAGTGTATATATTGTAGAGACCAACCATGTCCACAATATCTCTCAGTCTAGCTAAGCCTGGGAAGGCGATGCCGGGACCGTCTGTGGCGAAGTGGGTCGCGTCCCCGGATTTCGTTCAACCCACCCTCCACACCCATCACCCTCTATAGAGAGCAGAGGACAGGAGAGAAAGAGAGGGAAGAGCTAGAAAGTACGCGTCTACTCAGGTACTCTGACCATCTCTCGCTGCGACGTATATTACAAGGGTGAGGTGTCAACCCACAACAACATGAGGGCCTGAGGAGTCAACATGCAACCCACTCACCGAGGAAGCTCACTCACTCACCACAGCCCTCGTATACAAGGGATGTCACGTGTACATGTGCATGTGCATGTGAGAGCGAGCGAGCACCAACCTGCATGCACACATGACATCCAGACTCCACTCCCCAGCAGGCACGAGGCGAAAGCGGACTCGGCTCTCGCGTCTCGTGTCTCTGCAGTTCTCGAGAGCCTCACGAGGTCACGCCAGCCAGCCGAGCTCCTGCAGCACCCGCCAGTACTGCAGCCCGTAGTGGCAGCCGAGCTCGACCGCGCTGCCGCCCGCAGTCAGGCTGATGTCGCGGCTCGTGACGAGCACCACGCGCGACGGCACGAGCATGCCACCCGCGGCGTCGCCGCCACCCCGCCGGGGCGGCAGCAGCGTGAGCTCCCACACCAGGGAGAGCGAGTTTGAGGCCGCGGAGGCGGTCTCGTACTCAAGGGCGGCGTGGCGCCTGCCCAGCAGGCCGCGCTCAAAGGCGAGGTCGTTTGCAAACTGCCCCAGCGACCCACGCCCGAGCTCTGAGGCGGGCGGCGCTCCCGGCCGCGGCACGAGGATCCGCTGAGTGAGCGAGTCTGGCACGACCGAGACGCCGGCGTCGCCCGGCCCGTACCGCCGCACCGCGTGGCCGTGCAGCGAAGAGGCGCCAGAACCGGCGATGGCGCGCTGCAGCGGCATCAGCTCGCCTGCGTGGTACTCCAAAGAGCCTCTCACACTCCTCAATGTGCCGGGCACACCCTCTCCGCACGGTGTGTGGTGGCTCGCCTGCGAGTAGCACGAGCTTCTGCGCATCGCCGAACGCAAACGGGACAGCCTTGTCGCCCGTCGCCTCGTCGACCAGGGTGCTCTCGTCACAGTAGCCGCAGAGAACCTCGCCCGAGGATATCGTCGCCGAGTCGGCACCGTCTGCGAGGCTGACAAAGAGGCCCTGGCCCGCGCCCGGCAGCCGCGAGTCCTGCACCGCCAGCGTCACGCCCGGGAGCTCGAGGGGCACCTCGACTGCCGCACTCGCCCGCACGGCCGCTGGATGACGTGGCGCGCAAGCACGGAGGAGCAAGGGCTGGTCGAGGAAGGGCAGGAGGATCATAGCCTCTAGAACTCTGTGTCACGAATGGGCGGGGTGCGCAGGGACCAGGTTCGTTGTGAAGAGCTGGGGCGCGCCACCCAAGAGCCTAGGTAGGTGCGGATCGGCAAGAGCGCAATCGATCTTTTTGCCCTCTATCACCTTGGGTTGTAAGAACTTGAAACACACCACGCAGGGGCACAGCAAGCACGGATAGCCGTTGAGGAGAAAGGGTAAGGTGTATGCGCAGCCACGGCCGTGCCGCGGTGGGCGCGCCACCTTCGCGAGCGCGGCGGGATCGGAATTGCGGCCGGAGGGAAGGGCGAGCCGCCGCCGCCGCCGCCATATACGATCAGCGACGACGACCGCGGCTCGCCCCAAACGCCAGGCGCTGGATCGGCAGTAGGGCTTGGGCGGCAGAGCGTAGGCCTCGAGCCACACGAGTCGCCGACAACCCCCCCTCATCGACGTGATGGCCGCACCCGCTGCCGGCCGATGCAAGCTGCCGCCTCCACCGCACCAGCGACACTGGCCGCGGCTCGCCGCCACGCGCCGGCTCGGAAGAGGGGCTATCGGCGGCGCAGCAGAGCGGCATGCGTCGTCATTCGAGCAGCACCAGGTCCCCTCTTCGACGTGACGGCCGCTCCCGGAGCCGGCCGGTGCGCGCCCGACCCACGCCCCCTCTCGCACCCCCCCGATCCCCCTGCGCGGCGCCCCCTCCACTGCGCGCCGGCTCGAGCGCCTATTGCCAAATCGCGACTTTCGAGCGCAGTGCGTGCGCCCCACACGTCACGCGAGCGCAGGAGAGTTTGCGGCAGAGCAGTACCGTGTACTAGCCGGATGCATCGCGCCGAAAACCCCGCGCATTCCGCCCCAACAGAGGCTGCAGGAGGCAGATGACCAATAGCTGTCGTTTAGCGACCATCGTTACGAAATGTAGCGTCACCGGGAGGTCTCCAAGCTGTCTTGGGTGGTCACGATCCCGGCGTGAACACGACTAGCTGACTGACGGATCCGCTCCTGACGGTTAGCCAAAGCGACTCCCAAAGGGTGGCCGCCACCCCCATACCCTCAGGCACTTGCCTACGCCCTGGCCGCGCATGCCGCGCACGCGCGCGCACGCCCGCGCACGCCGCGCACGCCCGCGCACGCCGCGCACGCGCGCGCACGCCGCACTACGCGGCACTGCCCAGGTTCCCTCACGCTCAGATTCCCTCACGCTCAGATTCCGTGCAAGGGGGTGCCGAGGTATGCCGCAGGCCGGGATGGAGTGAGATATTGCGGGGCAGGGCGTGGGCTAGCGCGTGAGGGCGCAGGCAAGTGCCCGAGGGTATGGGGGTGGGCGCCACCCTGGGGCTACCCGTCCGTAGCATTGTCGGCTCAGTGATGGGTGTCCAACAACTGGGACACAAAATAATGTGGGCCTGGCTTCTCGCTTAGTGTGGGTAAACGAAAGTAGCGTATACGCTACTTTTGAACGAAGAAGCAGGTGTTCTTTATTTTTGCTTGGCCGGACGTCATGCCGGAACTTCAAAATAACATTGGCTAATCTAATCCTACTCATCACAACTCGCCAGGAACACCCCCACACTATAGGGTCATTATGTAGCCCTGCTTAGAAGGAAAAGGTTTACTGCAAGGCTCACCGTGTAGTCAGCCTTTCAAACGAATACCTACGAATACTTTAAAGTCTCGACAATCACTAAGCAGAGGCTCCCTTGGGGATGCCTGAGGCCACCCCAACCACTCACGAAGCCGTACGTGGACAATTTGAAACTTACTTTTTTCGTTTACCCACACTAAGCGAGTATAAAAGGTTCTCTCTTAGGCTCTTTTCCGCGCGCGCCCCCCGCAAGGCGCGCGATAGCCGATACACACACACAATGTTCCGAAGCAAAGTCTCGAGGTTCTCCAAGAGAGAGAGACTCACGTCAATAGCCCGAGAGACTCAATGCACAATGCTCAATGGGAGGCACCCCTCTTGGGTGAAGTTCTGAAAAACGTGCAGCACTTCTAGCCAACATCGACAAAAGTCACTCTCTAGCCCCGCGGCGAGCGGCCCCGCCGGAGGCGAAGAAAATTTTGCCATCTAGGCGCTCTCTAACACACATTTTTGCACAAATCGACACCTCCAAACAAATTCAATAAGACTGGTCTTCAGACTTCACTGCAGCACGCCTCGAGCGAGTAATGCGTCTGTAGGCCAATATAATAGAGCTTCTCGCGCGCGCTCCTCAGCTGGCGGTCCGCAGGGCCGCCCGGGCCGGGCGAGAAGCGCAAGCCCGCCAGCCGCACCATGTGATTCACGATGATGAGCGTCTCGGCCTCGAGCAGCGTGTAGGTTACGAGGAGCGAAGCTTGCCCTCGCACTCGCGTTGCTCGAGCCTGAGCCACTGCGCCTTGACCACGAGATAGCC